GGGGGGGGGGGGGGGGGGGGCAGATGGATATTCGATAGAGGGAGGGAGGGAGGGGGGGCAAGACAACTGATGGCCAATGGAGGGGAAGAGATAGGCAAGTGTTGCACGGTTCAGAGTCTGCTTTGGTGAGACAGACAAGCACAATTCATAGGAGAAAGGTTAACGGCAAAAACAAGACTAGAAAAAAAAAAAAACTGCCGTCGGTCCCTTTTAGGTACGAAGACAACGAAAGAGTCAAGCCAATCAACCCTTGGGTGGCAAGAAAAAAAACAATGGCTGGTGACAGCAGTAGTGAAACCACCAGAGCTACACGTTGCCGGTGTGCGCCACAGTGTCCGGATATCGAAAAAAAAAACAGCAACAATTTTACACCCACGTGCAACGTGAACGGATAAAAAGTTACTGGTCAAAAACGGTGTGGGTCTGACGAGGGGGCTCCGTGACTCACCCTTCCGTCCATCCCCTGAACCTCGTCGGGCTCCGACAGGAGCTTCTTGGCCAGCGTGCCCTCCACGGAGTAGCCGGGGATGAGGACGCTGTTCTTGTCGTCGGTGCACCAGCGGTCGAACAGCTGCCGAGCGAGCGAACAGCCAGGCGGTGGTGTTGTCGACATGGTTCGTCGGTTTCCGGGATGGCGGAACAACGGATCAGTGAAGCCACAGAACAGGCGGTACTCTTGTACTACGGCAAAACCAAACTGCCGAAAAGAGGCACCATGAAAAATTTTCATACAGACGAAGATGGCTCCAAGCATCACACACATGAGCGCCCCGAGGCCAATGTATGAAACCACGGGGCTTCGGGGTAGTGACGCTTGCCGCTGCTATCTTGGGTACACCAAACCACCCATCTCGGAGACGCCAAACTATACCGTGGACTGCAAAATGTTCTCGACATGTATGCGACTGCTGCTGTACATCCTACAGGCAGCCAAAGCCTTACACCGGTCACGAGGTGCCCCATCTAGACTCGCATCCGCCATGAGAGAAACCAATGATCAAACACTAGCTGCATCTTCATGCGTGGAAGGGGACAGGGATGGATGGATTCCCGTGCACTATAGTACTGCAATCCGTGCAGTACTCCTCCAACACGCGATTTGCCGAAACATGCCGCTCACCATCCTGGAAACCCCGCTCTGGAGCATCCCCGGCGACGCCATCACAACCTGATCGACGCATTCCGGCGAAGCACACGCACGCGCGGAAAAAGGCGACATAAATAATCAGAGTTCCAACCGTCAAGAAAGTCAAAACAGTTTACTGTGACTAGTGACTATCGTCGTCGCCCGCGAGAGCAGAAAACGCGCCGACACCTCCACCCCAAGCGCAAAAAATTCCAGCAAAGTTGCATCCGTGATGAGGGGGGTGGAATGGGAGTCGCCAAGGAAGCTGCTGTTCTTGAGGCCCCCCGGTGGAGTTTAAGGCAAACAGTCTGGGCAAACACTTCCGAGCGGTGGGCGGGGAGGAGCTGCCCCTTGTGGCGGCTATACCCCTGCCATTGCCTTCGTGTGTAGAGCCAGCCAGCTGCGGCAAAGAACGAGCTCCATCCCAACAACCCTCGACAGCAGTGCTACAAGCTTGGAACATTTCTTTGCTTTTGGCTTGGGCCCGCTCTACCCCCGAGACCTCCGGAAGTGGCGGCGATGACGGAAGGGTACCCGCGGGGTACCCATCGCCGATTGCTCACGGTTAACGATTTTCAGGGTCAACCCACATTGTTGTGCTAGAGGGCAGCGCCAAAAACAGCGCTCTTTCTTCCGCTTCGCTTTCTTTGATACACGCTGTCCAAGAGAGTGGCGAGAGAAGGACGCCAGCCAAGAAAAGCGTCAGGTCCTTGGTGGCGATCTCCATACCGGTAACCTGGGCGCGGCACTCACCGACGGTCCCGAGTCATCGAACTGGTCGATGCTCTTGAGGTTGGTGATGTGCTGGAACTTGAAGGGGTTGGCCACATCCATCTGCTGCCGGATGTGCTCGTTCATCATGTTGATGTACGTCTGATAAACCCTGTGTTATTATTTTTTTCGTTCGCGGGGCAGTAGCAGCGTCTGTTACCTAGGTCTACCTCAGTTCTTCAAAAAAGCCGCGCAACTCGATGGCAACGCGAGCTTGCCGGGCGACATTAGTGACGAGAATCGATTCTGGAGCTTGAAACAACCCCGCACGGGAGTGCCCAAATTACAATGCCTTTGCCTCATCCACGATCATACCACAGCCGCTGGCAACGTTGGTAACCTCGCAACGTTCTGGCTTTTGGGACGTGGGTTCCAACTTCGTCACAGCAGTCACACGGACTTGGATTTTGTTTTTCGCTTTTCCCAAGAGATGCCCAAACAACGCCAACGACGATTGTTTCGAGCGTACGCAACAACTTCGACCTCACGATTGACGAGGGAAAGGAACGGCTAGATCTTTCTGCAGAAGCAACGCAGCTGGATAAAAGAAAAAAGACAAGTTTCGACGCCAGGTGATAGGCCAGGAAAAATATACCGCAAGGTGCGAACACCGACGTAAAAAAAAGGAGCGGCACAGACACACACACAAATCCGCTCTGCACCCCGTGGGGGGGGGGGGGG